CAGTCTCTGTCACCCAGGCAGTGGCACGATCTCTGCTCACCTCAACCTCTACCTCCTGATTTCAAGTGATTCTCATGCCTCAGCCTCCAGAGTAGCTGGGATTACAGGCGCACACCACCATGCCTGGCAATTTTTTTTTATTTTTAGTAGAGACAAGGTTTCACCACGTTGGCCAGGCTGGTCTCGAACTCCTGACCACAAGTGATCTGCCCACCTCAGCCTCCCCAAGTGCTGGGATTACAGGTTGAGCCACTGTGCCCGGCCTCCTTATGGTTATAATTTCTTACAGATGGGATTTCCCATTCCCCTATCCACTCTCTTCAGTGCCAACACTGCTTTCTTCGTGGTCCCTGGAACAGGGCAGGATCTTCTCATTCACTCCTCCCCTGAGGCTGTAGCCATATGAGGTCCTAACTTGATGGGATCTTAAGGCAGCATGAGAGAGAGGCAAGAAAAGAACCTAGAACTACACCCCAAACCTATCTGCACACTGCCAGGCCCACCACCTCCTTCCTGGAATTGCAGCTGCTTCTCTAGACACAAACTTACAGTAGCCTGCAGGGTCATCAGGGTTTCCTGGTGGGTTTTAATGTGTCTGTTCCTCAGACCGGGGCTTCCTCCTCTAGGCTCTGGCTTCTCCAGGGTTGATTTTGGAGAAGGAGTCAGGCCATGGCTAGCTGTCACACTCTGGCATTCGTGAGTAGAAGGCATCTCTACTGTCCGATGTTATCATCAGGCTATGGGGCCAAGGACGGGATTTGAGAGCTCTTTCTAACTTAACCCAAGGGAGGCGGATTTCTTCTTAAGGCAATATTGTAACCTGTTGTTTTGGATTTTCTTTCTCTTTCAGCGCTCTAGCTGAGGCAGCCACGGGGAAAAAGGTCTTGCACATTCCATACAGAGACTCCGTTCTCACCAAGCTGCTGCAGTCAGCTCTTGGTGGGAACAGCAGAACCGCTTTGGTAAAAGCCCTTTCTCACATTTTACACTGATTCTGCTGTATAGTTGTTATTGTTGATGTTGTTATTGTGATTAAAATTATTCTCAATACACCTGTAATATAATAGAGTACTTGGCATTGACCCAGTCCAGCATGCTTTTTGTTTTTTTTGAGATGGGGTCTCACTCTCGCACCCAGGCTGGAGTGCAGTGGTGTGACCCTGGCTCATTACAACCTCCGCCTCCCAGGTTCAGGCGATTCTCCTGCCTCAGCCTCCCAAGTAGCTGGAACTACAGGCGTGTGCCACCACACCTGGTTAATTTTTATTCATTTTTTTTTTTTTTTTTTTGTATTTTTGGTAGAGACAGGGTTTCACCACATTGGCCAGGCTGGTCTTGAACTCCTGACCTCAGGTAATCTGCCTGCCTCGGCCTCCCAAAGCTCTGGGATTACAGGCTCTGGGATGACGGCCACCGCACCTGGCCTTGTTTTATTTTGTTTTTCCCCTCAGGACTAACAAATTCTGACCTACCATTATCCCATAACCTCTGGTACTCCATTACAATGTTCAAACAATGTTTCTATATTAGTAATTTTTAAATTTATTCTTTTCTGTAGTTTAAGTTCTCTACAAGGAACATATATTACTTTTATTATCAGGAAAAAAAACTAGTAACATTAAAAAAAAAAAAACTAGCTGTGTCATCCTATTCTAAATTAGCAGTCATTCCCTGGCAAGGTTGGAAATCAATGTCACTGTGTTTGTTTGCCCGGCAGAGTAGCTGGACCGTGTTATCTCAGCCCACGCTCTGGGGTCTCATTAGCAAATGTTCGCCAGGTGGGGACACTGTGGAATGTGTTCAAACCAGGACTCTGCTCTTCAGCTTCAGCTGCAGGGGGGTGCACTCTGCCTCCAGCCCAGCGCTGGCCGGCGCTCTGCTGTCCTGCTCAGGAGAGAAGCGCCCCACCAGGACCAGTTACATGCATCCCCCCATGCATACACGGAGCTAGCTGCACCCTTACTCTTTCTCACTTCACCCTATTTTCAATACTTCATTTTACAGTTTTTCTGGTTGTCAGCTACCTGTGGGCCTCAACGGGACATCCCCCCAAAAAACTTGAACATGAGAAGGCACATGAGATGCTCTCTGAATGTTAGCCTACAAAATTCAACCTGGCAGGTCTCAGCAGATGTGTGCAAAGTCACCCCAGACCGGGAGGACGACGCCCAGACCTGCCAGCCTTGACCGGCTGACTGAGGGCAGGGCAGGGCTTTGACAAAGGGGCGTGCTAGGGAGGGGCAGACGCTGGGTGTCCGGCATCTCGGGAAGCACAGAGAACAGAGAACCCGCAAGGCCGACAGCAAGCTCTGCAGTCTCTATGGCACCAGCCCAGCTTCAGCACGAGTGTCTTACAACCTTCATTTTTAGCGATGATAATGAAAATCCACCTGAAAATATTGCCATGAGGATTAAATGAGATGACATAAATGAACAAGCTTTAACAGCTGTGAAGGGGAGTCGCTGGGAAGACGGCCGAACGGAAGCGGCTCCGGTGCGCAGCTCCCCGCGAGCGCAGGAGGGAAGTCACCTCTGCGTTTCCAGCTGAGGCACCTGGTTCATCTCGTTGGGACTGGCTGGACAGCGGGTGCAGCCCGAGGAGGCTGAGCCAAAGCAGGGTGGGGCACCTCACCTGGGAGGTGCAAGGCGTTGGGGAACTCCCTCTCCCAGCCACGGGAAGCCGTCAGGGTCTCCGGCCCAGTTACCACTTTTCCCACAGTCTTCACAACCCGCAGACCAGGAGGTTCCCACCGGTGCCTACAACGCCAGGGCCCTGGGTTTCCAGCACAAAACTCAGTGGCTGTCTGGGAAGACACGGAGCTAGCTGCAGCAGTTTTTTTTTCTCTCATACGCCAGTGGCACCTGGAAGGCCAGTGAGACAGAACCGCTCACCCCCCTGGAAAGGGAGCAGAAGTCAGGGGGCCAAGTGGTCTGGCTCGGCGGGTCTCACCCCCATGAAGACCAGCAAACCCACTGGCTTAAAACTCTTGCAGCCAGCACGGCAGCCTGAGCTCGACCTGGGACATTCCACCTTGGTGGGGGGAGGGGTGTCCGCCATTGCTGAGGCTCAAGTAGGAGCCTGCATAAACAAAGTTGTGGGGAAGTCTGGACTGGGCGGAGCCCACAGCAGTTCAGCAAGGCCTCTGCAGGGAGACTGCCTCACTAGACTCCCTCCTTGCTGGGCAGGGCATCTCCGAAAAAAGGCAGCAGCCCATCAGGGACTCATAAATAAAGCCCCACCCTCCTGGGACAGAGCACCTGGGAAAGGGGTGGTTGTCCGCACAGCTTTAGCAGACCTAAACATCCCTATCTGGCAGCTCTGAAGAGAGCAGCAGATTTCCCAACACAGCATTTGAGCTCTGGTAACGAGCAGACTGCCTCCTGGAGTGGCTCCCTGACCTCTGTGTATCCTGACTGGGAGACGCCTCCCAGCAGGGGCCAACAGACACCTCACACAGAAGAGCTCTGGCTGGCATCTGATGGGTGCCCTTCTGGGACAAAGCTACCAGAGGAATGAACAGGCAGCTCTCTTCGTCATTCTGCAGCCCCCGCTGATAATACCCAGCAAGCAGTGTCTGGAGTGGACTTCCAGCAAACTCCAGCAGACCTGCAGCAGAGAGGCCTGACTGTTAGAAGGAACACTAACAAACAGAAAGAAATAGTTTCAACATCAACAGAAAGGACATCCACTCAGAGACGCCATCCAAAGGTCACCGACTTCAAACACTAAAGGAAGATAAATCCACAAAGATGGTAAGAAATCAGTGCAAAAAGGCTGAAAATTCCAAAACCCAGAATGCCTCTTCTCCTCCAAGGGATCACAACTTCTCTCTAACAAGGGAACAAAACTGGATGGAGAATGAGTGCAGCGAATTGCTAGAAGCAGGCTTCAGAAGGTGGGTAATAACAAATTTCTCTGAGCTAAAGGAGCATGTTCTAACTCAATGCAAGAAAGTTAAGAACATTGAAAAAAGGTGAGATGAAATGCCAACTAGAATAACCAGTGTAGAGAAGAACATAAACGACCTGATGGAGCTGAAAAACACAGCACGAGAACTTTGTGAAGCATACAAAGTTTCATTAGCCGAATTGATCAAGTGGAAGAAAGGATATCAGAGACTGAAGAGCAACTCAATGAAATAAAATGAGAAGGCAAGATAAGAGAAAAAAGAGTGAAAAGAAATGAACAAAGCCTCAAAGCAATATGGGATGATGTGAGACCAAATCTACATTTGATTGGAGTACCTGAAAGTGACAGGGAGAAAGGTACCAAGCTGGAAAACACGCTTCAGGATATTATCCAGGAGAACTTCCCCAACCTAGAAAGGCAGGCCAACATTCAAATTCAGGAAATTCAGAGAACACGACAAAGATACTCTTCGAGGAGAGCAACCCAAAGACACAAAACTCTCAGATTCACCAGGGTTGAAATGAAGGAAAAAATGCTAAGGGCAGCCAGAGAGAAAGGTTGGGTTACCCACCAAGGGAAGTCCATCAGATTCACAGCGTATCTCTTGGCAAAAGCCCTACAAGCCAGAAGAGAATGAGGGCCAATATTCAACTTTTCTTTTTTTTGGTCAGCCTCCTGAGTAGCTGGGATTTACAGGTGTGTGCCACCATGCCCAGTTAATTTTTGAATTTTGAGACAGGGTTTCATCATGTTGGCCAGGATGGTCTTGATCTCCTGACTTCATGATCCACCTTCCTTGGCCTCCCAAAGTGCTGGGATTACAGATGTGAGGCACTGCACCTGGCCTATTCAGCATTCTTAAAGAATTTTCAACCCAGAATTTCATATCCAGCCAAACTAAGCTTCATAAGCAAAGGAGAAATAAAATCCTTTACAGACAAGCAACTGCTGAGAGATTCTGTCACCACCAGGCCTGCCCTACAAGAGCTCCTTAAGGAAGCACTAAACATGGAAAGAACCAGCACCAGCCACTGCAAAAATTTACCAAATTGTAAAGTCCATCAACACAATGAAGAAACTGCATCAACTAATGGGCAAAACAACCAGCTAGCATCATAATGGCAGGATCAAATTCACACATAACAATATTAACCTTAAATGTAAAGGGGCTAAATGCCCCAATCAAAAGACACAGACTGGGGCCGGGCGTGGTGGCTCAAGCCTGTAATCCCAGCACTTTGGGAGGCCAAGGCGGGTGGATCACGAGGTCAAGAGATCGAGACCATCCTGGTCAACACGGTGAAACCCCGTCTCTACT